TCCGCACTATCCACAACTCCACCAACTTTGGTGTCATCTGCAAATTTACTAACCCATCCTTCTACACCCTCATCCAGGTCGTTTATAAAAATGACAAACAGCAGTGGCCCCAAAACAGATCCTTGAGGTACACCACTCGTAACTGAACTCCAGGATGAACATTTCCCATCAACCACCACCCTCTGTCTTCTTACAGCTAGCCAATTTCTGATCCAAACCACTAAATCACCCTCAATCCCATGCCTCCATATTCTCTGCAATAGCCTACCGTGGGGAACCTTATCAAACGCTTTACTGAAATCCAAATACACCACATCAACCGCTTTACCCTCATCCACCTGTTTGGTCACCTTCTCGAAGAACTCAATAAGGTTTGTGAAGCACGACCTACCCTTCACAAAACCGTGTTGACTATCCCTAATCAAATTATTCCTTTCTAGATGATTATAAATCCTATCTCTTATAATCCTTTCCAACACTTTACCCACAACCGAAGTAAGGCTCACTGGTCTATAATTACCAGGGTTGTCTCTACTCCCCTTCTTCAACAAGGGGACAACATTTGCTAGTCTCCAGTCTTCTGGCACTATTCCTGAAGACAATGACGACATAAAGATCAAAGCCAAAGGCTCTGCAATCTCCTCTCTAGCTTCCCAGAGAATCCTAGGATAAGTCCCATCTGGCCCAGGGGACTTATCTATTTTCACACCTTCCAGAATTGCTAACACCTCCTCCTTATGAACCTCAATCCCGTCTAGTCTAATAGACTGTATCTCAGTATTCTCCTCGACTACATTGTCTTTTTCCTGTGTGAATACTGACGAAAAATATTCATTTAGCACCTCTCCTATCTCTTCGGACTCCGTGCACAACTTCCCACTACTGTCCTTGACCGGCCCCAATCTTACTCTAGTCATTCTTTTATTCCTGACATACCTATAGAAAGCTTTAGGGTTTTCCTTGATCCTACCTGCTAAAGACTTCTCATGTTCCCTCCTGGCTCTTCTTAGCTCTCTCTTTAGGTCCTTCCTGGCTAACTTGTAACTCTCAAGCGCCCTAACTGAGCCTTCACGCCTCATCTCTACACAAGCCTCCTTCTTCCTCTTGACAAGAGATTCAACTTCTTTAGTAAACCACGGTTCCCTCGCTCGACCACTTCCTCCCTGCCTGACAGGTACATACTTCTCAAGGACACGCAGTAGCTGTTCCTTGAACAAGCTCCACATTTCAATTGTGCCCAGCCCCTGCAGTTTCCTTCTCCATCCTATGCATCCTAAATCTTGCCTCATCGCCTCATAATTGCCTTTCCCCCAGCTATAACTCTTGCCCTGCGGTATATACCGATCCCTTTCCATCGCTAAAGTAAACGTAACCGAATAATGGTCACTATCACCAAAGTGCTCACCTACCTCCAAATCTAACACTTGGCCTGGTTCATTACCCAGTACCAAATCCAATGTGGCCTCGCCTCTTGTTGGTCTATCTACATACTGTGTCAGGAAACCCTCCTGCACACATTGGACAAAAACTGACCCATCTGAAGTACTCGAACTATAGCGTTTCCAGTCAATATTTGGAAAGTTAAAGTCCCCCATAACAACTACCCTGTTACTTTCGCTCCTATCCAGAATCATCTTTGCAATCTTTTCCTCTACATCTCTGGAACTTTTCGGAGGCCTATAGAAAACTCCCAACAGGGTGACCTCTCCTTTCCTGGTTCTAACCTCAGCCCATACTACCTCAGTAGACGAGTTGTCATCAAACGTCCTTTCTGCCACCGTAATACTGTCCTTGACTAACAATGCCACACCTCCCCCTCTTCTACCACCTTCCCTGATCTTACTGAAACATCTAAACCCCGGAACCTGCAACAACCATTCCTGTCCCTGCTCTATCCATGTCTCCGAAATGGCCACAACATCGAAGTCCCAGGTACCAACCCATGCTGCAAGTTCACCCACCTTATTCCGGATGCTCCTGGCATTGAAGTAGACACACTTCAAACCACCTTCCTGCCTGCCGGTACACTCCTGCGACCTTGAAACCTTATTTATGACCTCACTACTCTCAACCTCCTGTACACTGGAGCTACAATTCAGGTTCCCATTCCCCTGTTGAATTAGTTTAAACCCTCCCGAAGAGCATTAGCAAATTTGCCCCCCAGGATATTGGTACCCCTCTGGTTCAGGTGTAGACCATCCCGTTTGTAGAGGTCCCACCTACCCCAGAATGAGCCCAAATTATCCAGGTATCTGAATCCCTCCCTCCTGCACCATCCCTGTAGCCACGTGTTCAACTGCTCTCTCTCCCTATTCCTCGCCTCGCTAGCACGTGGCACGGGTAACAAACCAGAGATAACAACTCTGTTTGTTCTAGCTCTAAGCTTCCACCCTAGCTCCTTGAATTTCTGCCTTACGTCCCCATCTCTTTTCCTACCTATGTCGTTGGTGCCTATGTGGACCACGACTTGGGGCTGCTCCCCCTCCCCCTTAAGGATCCCGAAAACACGATCCGAGACATCACGGACCCTGGCACCTGGGAGGCAACACACCAACCGCGAGTCTCTCTCGTTCCCACAGAATCTCCTATCTGTCTCCCTAACTATGGAGTCCCCAATGACTAATGCTCTCCTCCTCTTCCCCCTTCCCTTCTGAGCAACAGGGACAGACTCTGTGCCAGAGACCTGTACCCCATGGCTTACCCCTGGTAAGTCCCCCCCCCCAACAGTATCCAAAACGGTATACTTGTTTTTGAGGGGAATGGCCACAGGGGATCCCTGCATTGTCTGCCTGTTCCCTTTCCGTCCCCTGACTGTAACCCATCTACTTTTTTCCTGTACCTGAGGTGTTACTATCTCCCCGTAACTCCTCTCAATTACCCCCTCAGCCTCCCGAATGATCCGAAGTTCATCCAGCTCCAGCTCCAGTTCCCTAACACGGTTTCTGAGGAGCTGGAGTTGGGTGCAGTTCCCGCAGATGAAGTCAGTGGGGACACTAGTGGTGACCCTTACCTCCCACATTCTACAGGAGGAGCATACAATTGAAGGTGCAAAGATCACAGTGCACAACTATACCGAAGATTGAAAAAATAACAGAGACCAGATAAATCAGGGACCAGGGAAGTTAGGGATTGACAGTAAGTGTTGCCTTAGCCAGCAATGTCCATAGTGCATAAACAAATAAACCTAAACATTAAAAAAAACTCCTTGTTGCATCCAGTTGGCAGTTGCTTGATTAACATCATGATCTCTTTGTCTGGAACTCACTAGCACATGTTCCCCTTCCTGCCACTGGATTCTGACTTTCAAAACAGCTCCTAAGAAACAATTCTGTTTGACAGTACTTTTCCCACTATCACCATCTTCCAACCCTGCCAAAACCCTTCCATTATCCTTTTGCTTCCCCTGACTAGTGTTCCTCCTTTTATGTGTGATGTCTTTTTCTCTGTGAAACACTAAAATATTTCCTTGAACAAGAGGAGCTCTACAGAAATCTAAATTATTTAAACTCTTCTTTATCTCAGTAAAGTCAGAGGCTCTAAAAAATGTATAGAGCAACTACAATCGCATATTTATCTGAATTTATCATAATTTACAACCCTCGGATTTCTAAATCCACAGCATTCCTGCATCCCTTAATGGGTTGTCTCCATCCTGTGCATTTTGAATTTGGTGAAGTGAGGTCTATTGATGTTAAAATAATCTCATAATTTTGTATTTAGAGTTTATTGTTACAGCTGCATTATAACTAGGCTGTGTGCTACTGATAAAAGTCCATTTCACATTTCATGTGAAGATGTGTTCTCAGATTTTGTGTTATCAAATAGATGAGGTTAGTCCAGATAGTGTGTGTAGGGGAGGTGGTAGTGAGTGGTAATTTCACTGGAATAGTAATCCAGAACTCCAGACTCATATTTTGGGGACATGGGTTTGAATCCCACTGAGATAGATGGTGACATTTCAATTCAGTGAAAGAGCAGTAATAAAAAGTTAGCCTAATGGTGACCATGTAACCACTGGCCATTATTGTAAAAACCCATCTGGTGCACACATATCTTTAAGGGAAGGAGACCTCTCATCTGACCTACATATAGACCCACAAACAGACCATTCTTAACTGCCCTCTGGACAATTAGGGCTGAGCAGTAAATAATGCCCATGAATGACTTTTAAGAAGATAAGTTTTGAGACAATTTGTTTGCTCATTTCATCAATCAGGATATCGCATTGTACTGAAGATTAAATTATTTGATTTCTTTTCTGACAATAGGTGTTTATACCTCCAGTGTAACAGCTGCTGTAGCCAATGTAATATACTGCTTTTATCACAGGAATGATAAATAAAATTACTGCACATTCTTATGGATTTTTGAGAATTTTTTTGTGATATTACATTGGAAAATTTGTTAAAATGTTTCCTGTTTTGAAAATGACCATAGCACTTTACCAGGTGACTACCATCAATTCTGTATTCTGGTCAGTAATAAACTCAACCTGTATTATCTGGTCCCCTTAATATGATAAAGTTTTCCAACGAAATTCATAGGATTGTTACAAAGCCAAATCTGATGCCAAGCTACATAAATGGATATTGGGATAGATGGTCAAAAATGTTGTTTCTAAGGTGAATCTTAAAATGAAGAATGAGAGATAGATATATTTAGGAAGGAACTTTCAGAACCTAAGATCCAAATAAGTGGAGGAAAAGCTGTCAATCAAATTGGGATTCTCAGAAAGCCACTTGTATAGGTGCAGAAAGCTTGGAAGGCAGTGGGGCTAGTGAAAATTCCAGAGATAGGGAAAGGTGAGACCATAGAGGGATTTGAAAATGATGTGAATTTTAAAGTCAAGACATTAATGAACATAATATGTATGTATATAACGCATATATGTGTGTAGTCTTGTGAATGGAAACCTAGTAAATAAGTCTGTCTGATAAAGTAGCTATTACTAATAGGGATCATCAAGCTAAACATTGATAATCTTCCAACTTGATATACAGGGATCTGATGATTGTCTGGTGAAGATCTGGACAACCGATGATGGCAGGCTGCTGGCAACTTTGCGAGGACATTCTGCTGAAATCTCAGACATGGCAGTAAACTATGAAAATACTATGATTGCTGCAGGCAGCTGTGATAAAATCATCCGGGTTTGGTGCCTTCGGACATGCGCACCTTTGGCTGTTTTGCAGGGCCACACTGCATCCATCACATCTGTGCAGGTAAAGTAAACCATTGATAATACAATGATTAACCACAGCTAACTTGTGCAATTAATGTGTTCGGTTATTGTGATTAAATTTTTTCCTGATGCAATAAGAGAAGGTCATGCCTTACAAATTTGTTTGAATTCTGTGAGGAAGTGACAAAGTGGATCAGTGAGGGTAGTGCAGTGCATGTTATCTACATGGATTTTAGTAAGGCATTTGACAAAGTCCCATATGGTCAAAAAAGTAAAAGCCCATGTGATATAGGGCAGTGTCAAATTGGATCCAAAGTTGGCTTAGCAATAAGAAACAAGGGTAATGATTAATGGCAGCCCTTCTGAATGGAAAGCTCTTTCAAGTGGTGTTCTGCAGGGCTTGGCGTTGGGACCCTGCTGTTAATTTTGTTCGTTAATAATTTGGACTTGAACATGTGGGACATAATTAGGAAATTTGCAGATGACACAAAAATCGGCCATATGGAGGAGGATAGCTGTAAGCTCCAACACAATATACATAGGTTGGTGGGGAAGGACATAACTGCTCCAGAGAGAATGCAGAGAAGATTTGCTAGAATATTACCAGGACTGGAGAATTGTAAAATGAGGAGAGATTGGAGAGGTTGAAGTTGTTTTCCTTAAAACAGAGAAGGCGTGACATGATTGAGGTATACAAAATTGTGGGGGGTAGAGATAGAGTAGACAAGGGGAACCTGTTTCCCTTGGCAGAGTGTTCAAAAACCAGAGGTCATTAGATTCAACTTAGTGCCAGAAGGATTAGTGAGGAGAAACTTTTTTACGTGCAGGGTATTGGGTGACTGGACTTTGCTGCCTGAGTTGGTGGAGGAGACAGCGACACTAAACTCTGTTTTTAAAAAAAGTACCTGGATCTGCACCTTAAGCGCTATAAGCTATAGGGCTTTGGACTGTATGCAGGAGGTTGGGATTGGAAAGGGCACTTAGATGTCTTTGTGTTAGCATTGACAAAATGGACAGAATGGCCTTCTTCTCTGCTGTATCATATCAATGGTTATGTAGTTGTTCTAATAACTAGAAGCTGGGAAGTGAAGTAATAGAACTTAATGGAACAAGTATGAAATGCAGGAAGGAATGCCTAAGAAAGGAGGAAGTAGAGCTAGGACAAGGCAGGGAAGAGAACATGAGAGTGAAGAGACCCAGGTGAGTTTAAGAATGGGATAATTGAAAGGACAATCTTAGGAAGAGGGTGAGAAGGAGTTACTGGAATGTAAAACCTAAGCGAAAGGAAATAGGATGGGAATAAGAGACTAAAAGAGAAAACCTGGGGTAAATGTGTGGGAGCAGAGAGATGGTGTGAATGGAACAAAGAGATGGAAAACCAAAGAGAGGAGGGGACAGAGTGGGAATTGGATATGGAAAGGGAAGTCTGGCAGAGCAGGGATGGGTTGAGGGTGGGATCAAGAAACCTTGAGAGAAGGGAACGTTGTGAGAATAGCAAGAGGAAATCTTGAGCCATTTGAAAACCAAGTTAAGTGTCAAGTCAGATGCTATTCAGTCCATTCCACCAAATATTCTACTCAGGAACTCATTATCTTTACCAAAAATTGCCCAGGGCTTTCCATAAGTTTTCCTTTACTTTTTAAGGTAATCAATTTTTGACGAGTTCTGAATCATCTCTGCTTTTACATACAAATAGGAGTCAGGAGCTGAAGTTGACCATTTGGCCCCCAAAGTCTGCTTCACCGTTTTATAAGATCCCTATTGATTTGATTGTAACCTCAAATCCAATTTTCCATCCGGTCCTGACAACTTTTCCCTTGCCCTCCTATAACCTATCTATTTCTGCCTTGAAAATATTCAAACAATCTACTTTTATCACCTTTTGAAGAAGAGTTCAAAAACTCATGACCGTCTGAATTCAAAAAATATCCTAATCCCTGTCTTAATTAGATAACCCCTTATTTTGAAACAGTGACTCAAATTCTAGATTCTCCCACAAGAGGAAATATCCTTTCCACATCCAACTTGTCAAGATCCCTCAGGATCCGATATGTTTCACCAAATCACTCCTCATCCTTAAAAACTCCAATGGCTATAAGCATAGCCTGTCTAGTCATTCCTCATAAGTCAACCAGCCCTTTTCAAATATTATTCTTATAAACATCTTTGAAAAATATACACTTTGAACTTGTTTACGCTCTTCCTTAAATAAGGAAACCAATATTGTACACAGTAGTCAAGCTGTAGTTTCACTAATGCCCTGTATGACTGAAGTATAACCTTCCTATTTTGGTATTCATCTCTCCTCGCAATAAACTGTAACATTCTATTAGCTCTCCTAATTACTTGTTGTACCTGTATACTAACCTTTTGTGAAGGACATCCAGATCCCTCCGCATCTCGGAGCTTTGCAGTTTCTCGTCATGTCACATTGTTTTATTCTTCCTGCCAAAATGGACAGTTTCACTGTTGCCCACATTATGTTCCATTTGACAGATCTTTTCCTACTCACTTAACGAGCTATCCCTTTGTCGTGTCCTCGCACCTTCTTCAAGGCTTATTTCTTTTGCTTTCTTTGTGTCACCATCAAATTTAGTAACCCCATCCCTTTGGTTCCTTCGTCTAAGTTATTGATATAAATTGTAAAAATGTGAGGCCTCAAACTGATCCTTTTGGCATACCACTTGTTACATTTGCTAGCCAAAAAAAACCCCTCATTTATGCCAGTTAGCTAGCCAATCTTTTATCCATGTAAATATGTTACCATCTACACCATGAGCTTTAATTTTCTGTGTTACCTTTTAGTAATGGGATGGGGCTGTGTTTGGGTGGGAGTGAGTACAGCACATGGAGACAATGTCCAGAGAGAGAGAGAGGGAGAGAAAGAGACAAGCAAACAAGGAGACTAATGATAAGCCAAGAGAGTGATAAATGCTAATGGGAAGTGTAAATGGGCGAAAACCATTATACTCTTTTCACTATACACATATACACACACATATAATCTCTCTCTCTCTCTCTCTCACACACACACACACACACACACACACACACACACACACACACACAC